TAGGATTTTCAGATACCAAGATTGCCAGATAATGTTGTAGATGTGTGAAATGCGACTATCCCAAAGCAAAAAAAAGTGGGCTGCTTATAGATGGATGGTAATAGAGTTGTGGGGATGGAGGGCCATCCTGCAAAGAAGGACGAAAGAGTGACAAGATCAAACGCCAGTAATGATGTTTCCTGAAGCTCTTTAGACCGGGATTGGACAATGACCAGCCAAGATGGGGCCGGGATCAGCATTTTCCACAGTCCCATTACCGTCAACTTCTCTTCACATCCCTACACTTCCCTCATGCTCCCCAGAAACCTTACAGTTCAGACTGAAAATCTTGCATGACCTTTCGGCTTGGGGTTTATCTAGTGTACTGGTCAGGATTCCAATACCCCCCCCCCACTGCATCACTCATGGAGCTGCTCTGACCCCTAAACCCTAAACCTGAGTTCCAGCACGTGACCATCCTGGCTGCTTCCCATCAGCTCCCTAAGATCCGCAAGCTCCGCTGGGTAGATCTGCAGATGGGCGTCTGCCTCCAAGAACCCAAAGAAAAAGAGGACATCTGAGGAAGGAAGTTTCTGTTGTAAAGAGGTGGGCAAGTAAGGTGCATATGTGGGAATCATGGTCTGCAACTGGGAGGTTTGGGCTTCAGGACTTACAAGCAGGAACACACTCCTTGAAGAAACAGCAACCGCCAGAATGCAAATGAAACTGGATCGCTTGAAAGGCTTGTACTGGGTTTCTCTTTCTTCAAGTTCAATACACTCCCAGTCTTGACGTCATTCGCATTTATTGGGCGTTTAGAACTAGCTTTCGTGGTGATAGGGCGGCTAGACAAGCGAGGTGTGCTTGCAGCATGGTATCCTTTAGGAAGACCCCCAACCCTGTAATAATGGTATAGTAGGAATATAAGAGGACCCTACTATAATCACCCTTATCCCTTCTAGTCACCATTCTTGAATGGGGGTCGGGTCCACCTAAGGTATCCTGTAAAACTGTGCTCATGTCCCCAAAGCTCCCACAGATCTGCAAGGAATCAATGTCAACTGCTTGTGCGTCAGAACCTCTCATGTTCTGTTAGCCTAACGCCTTTGCCCAAGGAAGCCAGCTACCCATGCTCATCGCAAAGGTTTTTTGCTTTGGGAAAAGAAGTTCTCACAAAGTGTCTTCATGCAACCTCCCGGAACTGATGCACGTGAGCACAAACCATCTAAAGGAAATGTGGGAACAATAATTTCAATGCAGCACTTTCCGAAGGGGACACTGGGGCTTCATAGATTGGTACAGTACTCTATGTGTACGGAGGAAGATCCCAACTCTGACATGTACCCACCTGCAGTGGATGTGGGGTGTCAAACCGTTAACACTTCCCCCTAAGGCCCTCAGGTTTTCGGGACTTACTTGGGCTGACTGAACTCAATGTTCTTATCATGAGCTCTTCCTCGCCACTCTGTTGCAAACGGCCTGCTCCACCAACCGCAAGATTCGGTTCTCTACAAACTCCGCTTCGTCGGAGAGGTCGTAGGCTATTGACACCTTTCTCCACAACAGTCCAGCAATGCAGCTTCTCTGGCCTCTGTAGCAAGCAGACCTCCTCATCCTTCCACCCGCACATGTCCGGCTTGCTTGTCAGGGTCTCATCAGGCTCAGACAGACAGTCACTTTACTAAGTATTCGTGTGTAGTGCCTCTAATGCCGTATACATCATAAGGATGGCTGTTTTCCTAATGCTCAGCTAAAACAAGGAGACCCCAAAATGACAAGGAAAAAAATGATACTTCAAGGCTGGAGACCCTAAACCACAAACATTCTAATCCTGGCGCCTTCTTCTTTCTCCAAAAGTTCCCCAACCACAGGATCCCAGCAAACCCCAACGCCAAACCCCTACCGTTTAGGGTTGAGTGCCTAGGGCTTAGGGTTGGGCTTAGGGCCTATAGGGTCTACAGCCCAGTAGTTCCTTATAAAATCCCCTGGAACTCTAAAGCAGGATGCGCAACTTTGAGACGTCCTCCTTCAGATTATCATGCTGAGGACCTGACGCCCTCCACTTCGAAGCCCAAGATCGACTCGAAGAAGGCTTTTACCTTCGAGAACGAATAATACCCCTCACCTCCACCCCTTAAGGGTTTATTATTTAGGCTTAGGCTTTAGGCAATAGGGTTTAGGGAATAATGCAGACACAGAATCGAGGTGCCCCAGTAATCCCATTCTAATAAAGGTACCCGTTTCTTAATGTGCAGCTTGAATAAGAAGACCCCAACATACAAAGGGGGAAAGGGTACTACTGAGGTACTTGTAACCTTGTATTGATATCACATTATGATGATATAGCATTGCTGTATTGTGGTTGTACCATCACATTATGACAGCTGTAAGCTTTCAGAATATTGTCATGGAATAGTGCGGAATAGAAAACTGCAACAACATATTGATGTCAACGAATCCTGTCATAGCAGATTAACGTATATTGTAATATCGAAGCATCTTACTTTACTTCTTGTGAGCTTCGGGGCTGAATATAATTAGGGGGTGAGGGTTTATAGATGTAGTCAGATAAGGAGCTTACGCAAAAAGAGTTCCTCACACATTCAGTTTGCGGCCGCCCTAAGAGGTTGTACTCGAAGTGCTCATCTGACGGGATGCCTGATAAGGGCCATATCCTTCTTAACCACAAAATCCTGCGCTCATGACCCTAAACCACCTGAGCTATAGTCTAAACTCCTGGTATCCCTCTGAATAAGCCCTTTAATAGTCCCCCTATATCATCCCCTATATCAAACCCTTTGAGCAGCTTAGACCATAGCTCACCTTAAATCATGGACCCTACCTTTCAGCCAGGGCTGTAGGCCTCCCCCCCACTTTAAGGAGCTTGGGGATTACAACTGATTTCTCATTCATTCTTCTTGGGTCTGGAGGGCTCTGGCTTAGCAGAACTCAAAGGTTTACATGATGGGATGTTTCGGGTTTTGAGGTGATTCTAAAGTCATGGAGCTGTTCCTACTTTGAAGCATGCTCCAAGGGATCTTGATCAGGATGTTGTCAGAAACGCCAGCAACAAAACTGCAGAAACCCTGAAATAGCTGTCAGAAGCTACGGAACATCCTCTATGTCCAAGAACGATATATGAAACAACGTCATGGACAGGGATGCAAGAAAAAGCAGGCCCTAACAGCGGCCCACCCTCAGCCCCAAAATCCTATGGGCTTTAGGGTTTAGGGTTCGAGGCTGCCAACTGCTCCAAACACCAAAGGCCTCATGTGGCGAGCGTGCAGACCTTAGCTGTTCCATCTGCTGTCTCAATCTAAATGAGATGAGCCAGGGAGGACTCAAGGTTGTGTGAAATATCTTCAAGCTCACAAGCGTAAGTTGTAAGGACTACGGAGACCCTGTAAGAAGGACGAGCCTGCCAACATATGCAACGCTTTGGCAGGTTGTTTTACCCGGGCTTGGGCCTTGATGACTTTGGGAATCATCGGCGCCGCATGAATCCTACGGTTCATTGAAATGCTGAGGAGGAAGCTCTCTGGGGCCTGAGGCTGTTGGGTGCAACTTTTGATTTGGACCCCACTCCCGCCTGCATCCCATGTTGAAAAGGGATGTGAAGTGACGAAAACTTCCATAGCAAGTTGTAATCTACCAATACGAGTACAGGCACTCCAGAAACAATCTTGTATTTCCCAGCTCTTTGAGGTCTTGGACTCGGTTGCCTTAATGTCTGGGATCTGGACTTTGGAAAGCCTTCGGCCATCAGAGCATAGTCCGCCATGTGAGGCAACTGGCGCAGGCATGGTAGGACTGCCGTCTGAGAATGGGAGTGAGTTTGAAGATGTCATGGTGCTGATGGCGGCGCAGCGGTTGTGGCAGCTGTAGTCGGGGTCGTCTAGATGATGATGATGATGATGATGATGACGATGATGATGAGGTGGTGGTGGTGGCGGCGGCGGCGGCGTTGGTGCTGGTGCTGGTGGCGATGGCGGTGGCGGTGGCGGTGGCGGTGGCGGTGGCGGTGGTGGTGGCGGTGCGCGTGGCCGTGGCGGTGGCCGTGACGGTGGTGGCGATGAAAGTGGCTGTGGTGGCGGTGGTGGTGGTGGCGGCGGCGGCGGTGGAGGCGGCGGCGGCGGCGGTGGTGGTGGTGGCGGCGGTGGCATCAGCGGGTACCAGCTGGTGATAGCGCTCGTTTTCGTAGTGTTGTAATAGAAATGGAGGCAGAAGTAGTGGAAGTAGAAGTCGAAGTGAAGCGGCCACCAAAGATAGCAGAGGAGGAGGGATCAACACCATCCTTGCTTTTTCCGAGTCTACGCAGTGATTGCTGTGGCTGGTTTCCAGCCAGAACTTGTCCTTGCCTCCTCCAAAGGAGCGAATTAAAACGTCTCGCCTTAGGCATGTTGTGCTTCCGTGGTCAGGGGCTCTTGTAAATAGTGACGGACCGATGGAACAGAACCTTCTTTGAAGGACGCACAAAGATCCTGGTGGTCCTACCTTGTAGCATTATGCACCGGCAGAATCACATTTTTATCCCCTGAGTCATGTCATGTCTGCTGTGGTGATAGCAAGAAGGACTCTGTTTTGACCTCTGTTCTGATGTGGTAGCAATCATAGGAGGGACTTGGCTGTGAATTCAGTCAGGGGCTCATGTTTCACCTCCAGCAACCTGAACAATGCTCCGGCCAGGCGGTCGTAAAGAACCATTGCCTTCCTAGAGACACAGAGCCAACAAAGTGGGCTCCAAAAACCTTTGCGGTCGATACGTTCTGCTGCATGTTTATGTGAAGTTTTAAGAGGCCGGGAATCTACTTGGAAGTTTGTGAGCACTTACATATGAGGCTTCTGCTTCTGCTTCTAGGTCTGAAAGCCCAAGAACTTCCAAGCATGTATCCTGGCAAAACAATGTGGAGGAGCAGCTTCTAGCAATTACAGAATTATCACCAATAATATTCTTATTACTATTATTACCAGAATCCTCCCCAAGCTCAGTGTCTCAGTTTGTCAATTGCCAAACCTTCTTCTCATTCTGTCTGGCAATAGGCATCCGGAGCCGCTCTATGCACGGCGACAAGTCTGTCCTCGGCAATTGAAGGGGCAGGGGTTGAAGGGCCCAGGTTTAGGGCCCTCCTTGGGAGATCTATAGAATTCAGGGGGATGCGCATCAGGACATGAATGTTGGCACTCGATACTTCGGATTCTCTTCGCTGACGCAGAGTATAACCTGGAACCCTGAACAAATATTAGATGCTTACCTCCGGAATTTTGAGGTCTAGACGTGAATTCTACAAGCAATCTAGAACCGCATATTGGTGATTTGTTATTTGGCCACTACATGTAACCCCCAGCTCCTTGGCAGGGGCTGTTTCGTCCGGGACAATAGGTACCAAAGGTTTGGGTCCCTAAATTCCAAAGCAACATGTCCGTGACAGCTAGTCAGGTGTCTAGAGACATGCTTAACCACTGGAATCATCATTGGCCTCATCATTCCTTCTCCGGGTCATGAATTCTTCGAAAAGGAAACATGGTATTCAAGAGTGGCCGAGAGTCAAGGTCTGTCACCGCCTTCGAATGAGACTTGGCTTCTATAACGTCCATCTTCAAACGCCACATCTCACTCTGAACATATGCAGACCTGGAAAGCGAGTTACCCAAACTGATGGGCTACTATTGTATAGCCTCAAAATAGGTAACAACTACCTGAAATTATCCAAAAAAATTGTCTGCTGGCGTTCAAAGATGTTGTGTAACAAATCTGTACTGTAGCCTGAGAACGGGCAGCACTTACCCCAATAAGTTGTCTAAGTCTACTGGAGTTCGAGGGACAGCATGGCGTCAGTGCCTGCCACAGCAGTCAGCGCTTTCCTCGCGAAGAAATCTGAGACCATCGCTGCAATGGCACGGGGCGTCAGCAAGTCCTCACGGATGGGGCGGTATATGGGGTTACAGGGTTCTAAGGGTATATACAATTATATGGCAGTATGTAGGGGAGCGGGGGGATTCACTAGTCAGGGCTGCGCTGTTTCGATTCTGTGCCTTCTGTGGGGTTCTGCAGGGGTGGCGAGGGAGCATGTGGGTGTCATCTCACATCAGCAAGTCCTCATGGATGTAGGCTATGAGGGACTCCCCCAAATTCTTTTGTAAGGTCCACATGATGCACGCCACCAACGTGCCAACGCCAAAAATGAATCGCAGGCCGTACTCAACCCAAATGAGCCGGTAAACGTGCCATCTGCCGGATTCTCCTCCCTTGGTGCCTGTAATCCGGTATCCCGTGTGAATGCCCACAGCCAGGTAGAGGGTAGCCCCAACAACCCCTATCGCAAGTGTAGGGTCGCCAATCATCTGCTGAAAAACTGCGAGAATGACGATGTAGATAGGAAGCACCTCGAAAGTTGTGAGCATTAGTATCCAGCCCCCTGCTTGTGTTCCTGGGAACATGGCTTTCATGTTGATCAAAGCCTCGGCCATACCATTAGCCAAGCCAAGTGCGGCCGAGATCATGTTCTGACCCACCATGACTGCTAGCAGCATGCCCACAGCATACTCAGCTTGAGTACTGGCAAATGTAAGACTCTCCGCCAGTTGGATGATAGAGAACCTCTGCATGATGGACATCGCATTGACCAAGTCCGATTGCGACACATCACCTGATAACGAGGCAGCCCGCATCTGCTGTTGCAGGGCTGCGGGTGCATACGTTTTCTGTGCAACTGACGCATCACACTCTTGCATGAGCTGTGTCAGTGATGTTCTTGCTTGGCTGCCAGCAGTGTCAAGGGTGAACTTCACGCAATCTTGGATGCATTGCCTTTCGGTCGTTGACCCTGCTGTCAGTCGCTCGCAGCTCATCTGGCGACATCGGTCCTCGACGAACCACGTGCACGGCACAGACTGGTTGAAGAAGATCGTGTGCCAGCTGTCTCCCTTCGACATGCACCACTGGAATGGGTCAGTAGCCAAGCCAAGCATCGACTCTTCGAGGGCTCCAATCTGGTGCAGAATCCGCAGGTTCGAGGAGAGTGACGACCCAGCCATGTCCCCACTGGCCGTGATTGAGCTAACACAAACATCTGCTGTGATTGCATCCCAGTCGACCATGGAACGCATCGGGAATGTCAGGAAGAGCAGGAAAGGCGGGAGGAAGGAAATCAGCCAAGTGACCCACACCACGCGCCTCCCCAGCCTCAGGGTTGATGTTGCAGCACTTGGACGTGCCAAGCACAGGGCCAGCAAGGTCCCAAGTAAGGCCAGCAATGCCAAACACCACATGACGACATCGATGGCAAGGAGCGTTTGCACCAGAGGCTGGAAGCGATCACGCGGAATGGAGGAACTGACTTGACTCTCCAAAAAGAGACTGTAATCAGAATCACTTAGCCATGGTGATGATAGAACTGCTTGTACAAGTCCAAAGACCACGCCTACCCAAAGGTAGGAGTAGCGCCATGCCAGGTATGGGCCCACCACTCCAGAAGAGTAGTGCTCCTCCTCTGCCTTCTGCGCCAAGTCTGTGGCAAAGTTCCCGGTCACGGACTCTGCTGCATCATCCCATAGAGCGTTGCGCAACACTCCGTAGACGCATGAGCACATGGCAAAGCGCTACTCTAGCGCTGACTTTGCTTGGGCCAGAAATTCTGGACAGACAACGGAGCAACTTTGACCACTCTAGCCCTGATCTGACACGAAACTTGCACCGAGCAGATACCTTCTAGCGCAGGATATCGCCACCAAGCCTCTTCACTTTCAGCACGGGCAGCGCGCCCCTGCGTCCATATCCATCGAATCACTGCAAGGAAGCAGAAGACCTCAGTCTGCTCTCCCAAGCCTGAGGGTCATGGAGAAGAGACTACGTAGAATGATTAGGAATAACTACATGGAGCGGAACCTGCCAAACTTGCCCTAGCCGTGAGGCAAGACATGCTGGAGAAGCCTTTCGTTTCCTGCTAATCCATCCTCGCTTCAAATGGATCAAACGGATGCGCAGGCAAAAACAGAGTCTTCAGCTTGCCCAGGCTTGGGAGCCCTCTAGTAGGAAGGTTCCTTCAGATTCCTGAAGCATAGGCTGCATGACAAAACTTGAGATGGTAGGAAGCTGCGAAGCAGAAGCCCATTTCGAGAAGTAGGGGTCTGTCTACTGTTTGGACACCCCCCAAATGAGCGTCGATAATTGAAGCCCAGAGCCCGCAAATCCTCCTAGACTCCTGAAAAGCCAATACCCACAGACAGGACCTGTATGGACCCCATTGCTTAGGGTAGTTGGGGGGGCCTTAGCTGAACCCCGACGCTGCAGGTCTTGGGCAACAGGCATAGACTGCGACGGCATGCAGCTGCTGAGCAAAGCCTGAAGACTTAGAGGTGGCAAGTTGGGAATTGAAAAACAAGCGGCACAGCTACTATCATTTGGGGTTTAGGGTTCTGGATTGAGGCTTCAAGGTTTAGGGTGGCAATGGAGGAATGCATGCCTATACCAGTACTAGTGCCCAATAATCATCCCAATGTGCTGCTCCCTTAGTCCCTACTACTCACAAGTTAGCAAACGCTTTTGGTGGATCTTGTTCAAAGTGTGCGCCTGCTGCTAATGCATGTGAAGAACCTTCCCGAAGTCAATAACACATGGGTTCTTTTCCTGACTGTGACTCTCTGCTCCTTTTGAAACTGTAGCTGCGCAAAGCTACTTGCGCATGGCATACTTGTAGTATCTGGGGAAAAAATCGGACGATGTACACGACGATCATGTGAATCACCTCTCGAAACCAGGTTTAGGTCTAGGCACAACAAGGATCAGTACGCAGTTAAAGAATCAAAATCAAAGTACTGCTTCAAGAGTGGCGTTCCCCCCAAGAGAAGCTCTGTTGACTACTAGGCACGCAAGGGCAGCAAAGCTAAGTTGGCAACTATGCATGCTGGTTTTATAGCTCAAGAGGAGCAAGAAAAAAGGTAACTCCACCCCCGGACTTTCAGCAAGAATAACACTTTTGCAAGCCTTTCTCACCGACTGGGCGTACCCATCTTGCACTGAAGCATCTTCCATAATGCAGTATCATCATGCTGGGCCTTGGGGATACTAGTCCCTCTTGAGCAGATAGAATATGGGACATATGGGGATCTTATTATAATATACCCAAAACCAAAATCTATCTACTTAAGGGGGACTATAATGGGTCCAGAGTGTCTTTTTGTCTAAGCAATTGGACGAAGCCTTTCATTCGCAGAGTGGATGACCCCTCAAGCCCGTCTTATCTGTTCCAACCTTTGTAGATACAAGTTAATCAGAAAAGATCAGGGCTCAGAAAATAGGGGGATCCCAATACAGACCCAAACATATTGTGTTCGATCCTCACTATGGGGAACCCAAGAAAGGAACCCACAATTTTGGGAAACCCTCAATTACTCACACTTAGGATTGGCTTTTTAGAGCTTCTTGAATTACTAGGGGTTGGTAGGGAATAAGGGACTACTTCGTATAGGGATTCTAAAGGGACTGTATCCCCTTTTTCCCTACTAGTAAGTTGAAGGTTCATGGGAAATTCGCTATGGGAGTTTGATACCTTCGCTTCTAATTAACGTTATCCGCTTCATAGAATTACCCATGAACCCTCAAGTAGGTGACGCTTTTGGTGAGGTTCGATGTTGACCTCCCGGAGACACCCCCCCCCTTGCCCCTGATAATATCCTCACCACCCCTGAACCATACATATTCCCAAGTTGGTGCCGTTTTATATTCGGGGATATTTGTTACTCCGGGGGTCAGGGTGGCTGTTATGAAGCGGCTACTACTTGAAAAAAAGGACCGCGCTGTAAAGCTGAGTTCTCAGCCGAGCTGTTCCGGTTGCAGAAGTCGCGGTAAAAATGCGCTTTCTTTGGTCAGGTCAGGCAAGAAGTAGCCTGGCCGAAGAGCAAGTTTAGTTTGCTTGGGATAATGGAAAAGGAAATGGGAACTGCCGTAATTGGTTTAGGGTTTAGGGTTGGCGTTATAGTGGGATAATGGAAAAGAAAATGGAACCTGCTATGGTATAATAGGGTATATATCTAAGAGATGACACTACTATAAACCCTACATGAACCATAATCTCAAGTCCTTAAAGGGGGCTATGTAAGGCATTATATGGCGGACAAAATGGAGGGGCCTAAAGTACATCACCAGGACGAAAGTTTCGACATGCCAAGGTACATCTTACTGCCGTATTTTTGCGCGGAGAGATTTCCAGGGCAGAAGGTCCGTTTTACGTGGCCAGCGTGGCGGAGTAATTATGATTTGGGAATAGACTTATACTATTATGAAGTTCCCGGCGGAGAGCCTGTGCTAGGAGTCTGCGGGGGAAAGGGGCTGCAATTGCCACACATATTGCATTGTCAGCCCGTTTTGTCCTACCGCAGTAGACCAGGGTTTTGGGCTATACTTAGGTGAGGACTACTTACATGGAAGCAGAAATCCTTCAATCTTGAGGCTAGACGTTTGGTCTGAATCCAGGAATCCAAAGCATGGTTATCACCAGAGGGTTCACTACAGGATTTTAGTGTGGTACGTTATACGCTCTTTTTGGTAAACCACAACTCCTGTGAAACTCTTGGCATTTGTATTCCTACGGAAACCCGAGGGATATGGGGGACACCTTTCTCGATTGTTGCGGCCTTGTTCTGAATAGCTCTTTACAGCAGACCCCCTATGTGCCCCACTCTACAAGCATCCGCGAAACGGATATCTATCGTTTTGAAAAATGAAGTTCCTCTGAAACTGGAACAGGAGCCTTTCTCAAACTAACCCCTGTAGAATCCTAGCTAGGGCTCACACAATCCGTCTTTAATCCCCATATATCCCACATATCCCAAGGACTTCCAGTGGGCCCCAATGTTGGACACCGTTTAGGCAACAAGCTGGCGCCTATCAGTGACAGCACAATGAGGAAGAAACCTTGGAAGCCATGGAATGTGATCTTTTTGCACCTAAGGTAGGGATTTGCATCATCACATGTAAGCCGCAAGAAACATTTACACCTAGATTCCCGAGGAAAAGGAGCTAGACTTAGAAGAACGTGCGGGTAGCAACGCGGCTTGTGCACATCTGCAGGTTGTTGTTCAGGGTCAGAAAAGGGAATCCCAGCGCTCCCCTCTCGGTGGACTAAAGCCTTCGTAGAAGTCCCACGCCGCAACTGATTGCAGGTTGGGACGCGCCAGTGGATTGAGAACATATACCTTACCTTCAGTGCCCTAAGAGATTCTACAAGAGTTTCTTCAGATTAAGGGGTCTTTAGGGATTGCTCGGCTCTCTCGCCAAGGATCCATGAACGGGTATTTGAAAAGCAGATAATTGGGGCGACCATTGAGGTACTTGATGAAATATTTAATGTGAACATAAGTACGACAAAAAGGACCGGAGAAATTTGGAAACTACACGACTGGACACTTTTAGTCTAGGTTCGCACCGGCTAAGCGCCAGACTAAGAAGTGCCTGCGCAGGCCATAGGCTGGGTTGCTGTTAAGGAACTTGAATTAAGTTACCACAATATGAACCATAATCCAAAATCCTTAAAGGGGGTCCGGTTGTATAAGAGAATATATGGGGGGGACTACTAATAGGCGTTATTAAGTTAAGGGGGATACTTGAAGCTTGGACCATGGCTCATATGGGCATATGATAAACACTAGGGTTTCCCTATTATAGTAACTTTTCTTAAGTTTCTTAACAGCAACCCAGCAACCCAGCGGGAAGTAGAAGCTTCTCAACAAAGGTATCTGGATACCAAGGTTTGAGTGTTCACAGGCTTAAGGATTCAGATGTTTGAGATATTACAAGGAATATCGCATCTCGAGGTGAATCTCAGTTCTACCTGGAGCGCCAACCGGGAATGAAGCATATGAGGGGACATGTACTTGGTTTGCGAATTGCTTTAAACCTTCAGTCGCTATTGTTTTTATGATCACTTGTAATAGCTTCGGATTGTTTCCACGTCCCTCCCCAGCACAAGAGATAACTTTTGAGTTTGTCTTAGGTGTTGGCGAGTGGGCTTTACAGCCGCCCTCCAACGGAATTCCACAAAGCAAGCCAGTTCATGATCCCCGCGCAATCCCTCTGGAATGCTCGTAGAGGTGAGGCCACTTGCGATCCTACCACTCATCCCCGACACGCATGGCAACAGAACTTTTTCCATCGTAGGCTTAGAGACCACGGAAAGCATCTGTTATCAAGCTGCAGTGCGGAACCGACACAAAAAAGGTAATCTGTAACGAGGGCCAACGTACGGCTCAATACCAAAATCACAAAAGTCCCATCTCTCAGCAGCTCACCATCCCTAAACCTAGAAGATGAACGCTTGAGAAGTGTCAAGAGGACGCATGTGGGCTTCCCAAAATGAGGGATACCGTTTTGGGGGTCCATATGACAAGGATCATAATATTTTGGGTGTATATTGGGGTCCCCTTATTTCAAAACTTGCACAATTTCCTTGTAGCTCTGCTAATAGCCGGCTGGGCAGCTGTACTGTTGATGATGGGAACGCAGCTCAAACAACGACAACATAAAGCTTCTTGACAATACCAAGCCTACAGCTCACGTAATGCTAATATGACTCTCTCTCTATATATGTATACATGGCGCAGTTTCCATTTCATTTTCCATTTTAGTTTCCATTTGATTCTCCATTATTGAAGGAGTCTTCAGAGGAGTCAACCAGCCATGTCCAAACCCGAGCACAGCAATGGACACCTGCAGCGATCTTGCACAACTCTGAGAACCCACAAACCCAGTTCCCGCGGATACTCCTTGGCCCAACCAACGTTTGACAAGGTCCCCTCAACCCTAAACCCTCACAAGCCAGCACAGGTCTCCCCCGCCTGGAAAGCCAAATGTCGGAAGTACAGGGCCGGGGCTAAGCCCGAAATATTTTCCCTGACAGGATGGGGTATCTTCAGCCTTAAGCATCTAGGGCTCATAGTTACGTGCTTTAGGGTCTACAGGGTTGCGGGAGTTCACGGTTCAAGGTTTAGGATTCAGGATTTATACAGTTTAGGCTTGGGAACGGGGCGGCGCTTTCGGTCAACATTTGACGGCTCTGGCCAACATCTGGGCGCTTTTCTGGAGTGACTCCCCCCCTCCGTCAGCTCACATACAGGAGAACGCATACCGCTTCAGTTCAAGTAGCCAAACACGCTGAACTGGAATCTCACACAGATCAGTGTCTACCCTGACACAAACTAAGCTGGAACCTCAAAAGGGCCCTATCCAGACTGCAGTCCTTTCAAGGGGGCATGTGTGGGATTCCATGTTAAATTGGGAGATGGTACCATATTGGGGAGCTGAAGTCGCTCCTCTTCGCCTCCGCCTACAACACACGCCGTCTTTTGACCTTTAAAGACCTCCATACCAATACCCACTCTCCGGCACTGGGACTCCAGCAAGACACTCAACTTGTGCGAAACCTTCAACACTACATTTGATCACGTGTATCCCTGCAAACTGGGAGAGCACTCCAACTTCAGCGCGAAAGCTGAATCGAACACGCCGATCCTCTGGACATTGGTCGTCTCCAGGGGGAAAAACCTTGCATGAGTGATAGCTCGAGTTTTGCGTTTGGGGATGTAGGGGTTAGGGGATCTGAACTAAAGAAGCAATTGTGGGATTCCTCAACACAGATCTCCCAAGCCATCCCTGGCTTACATTGACGGCAAAAATTGGATTTCACGAGAACACTGACCATATTGTTTACATGATAGCGTCCGTCATGCCTGCTTCTAGTGGCACAAACCTTGCGATGCCATTTACCAAGGTACTATATGTGCATGCGCATTCTGAGTTCGAAGCACATTGCCGGGGACGGAGTAGTTGTGGACCTTTGCCCGTCGCCGGTGTGCCAAGCAGTGCTCCAGGGCTCCTGACGATGGGGCACTGGTTTGGGGAATGTCAGCCTGTAGGGATTTGAGAATTTCGTTCAGGGTTGTACCTAAGACAATGCAAATGAAGAATACCGTACATGATTGAACTGAGCAGTGAGGGCTGACCCACGCATTCCAGGCAGCCTACTTGAAATGGCGACAGAACATGTTCATCATCTGGCACAGTTCAAAGGTTGAAACCATGGGCCCCGAGCATGGGACCTGGCGATCCACCTACTCCGTATATACCTTTAACGGCCTAAAGGCCCATATTAGGGGCCCATACTTCTAACCTTACAACAGTATGGTTTTCTCAGCACACTCTCGAGAGCCCAGGCACAGGAATCTCACTCATCCCCCCGAGCATGATAGTAAAACACCTAACCTCCAAGAAAGATGAAGTACCGGGGGTTAGTAGAGAATACGGGAAAACATCATATAGGGATTATACAGTGCTCATATTCCATTATTCCCTATGTAATACCATCATAACATGGAGGAAATAACACTTATTAGCGGGGCGAGGGTTCATGTCTGGGCCAGCTGATTGCTATGAGAGTGTGGAGAACTGGCAGCAGGCTTACAAAGGGCCCCGTGGAGATCCCAGAACAGGGTGTACTCTGCGCATGATTCCATGCGAGTATAGGAGCCTAACCAAGCTTTAAACAAATCGGGATCATGGTGAGATGTCAGGAATCTCCGGAAGGGTTCAGTAGTGAGCTTTCTGCGCTTTGAAAGTAGAGGTCTCCCCTAGGCTGTATTTAGCACAGGCAACATGAAGTGACAAGTACCTTGAAGTTCAAGACCTTGCTGCAAGCATAGAGATCACTGGCCGAGTAAGCTTTGTTCTAAAAATGCACCCAGAAAAGAACGTGGCCCTTAGCTCATTTTGCAGGAGCTCCTCAACATAGGACCCTCTACGCATAATTGGATATCCCATAGGGATCCAACTTGCCCAATGTAGGTAATAGTTACAGGCGTTTGGGCCCAATGTCGGTATTTGTATGCTTGGATCACTAGGATATACGGGCTTCAAGGGGGCCATACGGGCCTTAGAGGAAACTGAAGGACCTCTCCCTTCGGATGTTCCTCAAGCAACGAGGGGGTTGCATCGGGATCAGGCATTGTGGAGGCCCTGGAGCATGCTGTTATCAGCAGAGATGAGTTTAAGAACTTGCTGTATGAGTATGGCCGGAAACAAAGGCCCGAAAAAGAGAGAGAGAAAACAAACGTAGTAGAGGGACTCAGATACAACTTTTGGAAAGCGCAACTGTTGGGACTCCTATAAGCCCCCTGTTTATCCCTACACATCCCTGAAAACTCCTAGTTGGAGAACCCACTACACCCTAAAACATCATCCCTAAGCCGATTCTTACGCCCTTCCGCGCCTGGGCTCCGAGCTGAGAAAAGGCCCAGGCACAGGAATCTGCCCATCAACACAAAGAAGGGGGCTTAGGGTTCAACCGGTTTTTGACTTCGGGTTTAGGAGTTTAGGGTTCAGTTCAGGTGCTTCAGGGGTTGGGGCTTAGGTTTTATAGGGGTCAAGTGCTTCGCGGTTAAGGGGTCAACTGCATATTAATTACGGGATGCACACCGACCGCTGCGGGATCGCGGATGTGCCTGTGGATGGATGAAATCGTACACCGCCTCCAAGTGTTGCAAGATCCCTCCATCCGCTCTAATTATCTCTCGGTGCTCACAAAGAATGGCCTTCCTTCTACTGACGAACGTTCTGGGAGAATATCCAGATAGGCATGGCCTTTGTGCCTGCAATGGATTGTCTCGACATCCAACTTGGAATTTGGACGTGTCTCATCACTTTTGGCTGACGCAGACCCTGGTGTCGGGAAATTTCCTTGCAGGCCAGGTAAATGTTGCGCTCTGGTTTTCTGCGCCTGTGGTTCTTTATTGGACATGTTCTAGGGACGGATCTCAATCACTCCAGTCTTGGTCGGGTTGGACTCCAAAGAATCCAGTATGCGAAACACCAGTCCATTATACGTCTTCATGTCAGGGAGGCGGTGTCTTCTTGCATACCTCGCCATTGCATGGAAAACATCCCTGGGCGCGGCCTTTACAGTGCTCAGAAAACCTTGCCGGTGGAGAAGGCTGCGTACGTTGGTGTCCTTAGGTGCTACTCTCCACTGTCCGCTTGTGAGATGCGAGAGAAATGCCCGTCGAAGCTTCTCCGCCACCCCTGCAGCCGTGTCTGTGTGAGTGGGCACTGCGTCAAGCTGCTTCCGCAGAGCAAACCTTGGTTGCTGTTAAGGAACTTTATCTAAATTGCTTTATTTGCGAAACCATATTGATTTATATATATATATATTTATACATATACATATATACCCGTTATGGTAACTTAAATTAAAAGTTCCTCAACAACAACCCAGAAACCGGTGATCGGTGCAATTTATGAATACCAGCATGGCCTCGAACAAATCTGCATTCATGTCCTCATCCAGGTATCCTAGCTGTCTCAAGGCTTGGGACACTAGTAGTGTGGAGTCCTGGAGCATGCATGGGCCTCCGCCCATGAACACTCTCCTTGCCAGGGCGCTGCCAAACTTGTTCAACTGCTTCTTCGTTGGTTTTCCAACCGACGTCATGGGAAGCACAAACGCCATATCATGTTTGTAGTTTTTCCACGGCTTCTTCCCGCCCTGGTCTCGCAGGAGCTGCCAAACCTCTTCGATGGCGAGCTGCTGGGGAAAGACTGTCAAGGAGCCCAAGTTGTTTGAAAGCCAGAATTTGGTCGTGGCATGTACCAGATATTCCCGGCAAGCTGCAGACACGTAGCCCAAGTCCTGCAGAAAGCCTGTGCACACCTTGACCTTCTCAGAGCTATCGTAGGGTCGACATGGATCGCCCAGTTGCACTTGGCCCTCTCCATTCTGGTGCAGCATGGCCGTGACCCTTGGGAACCGATCGATACGCGGCTGCAGCTTATAGACTTGGACTCCAGCGCTCCGATAACGATCGATAACGACACGCTTTTGCGCTGGAATAAACACAAACATCTTCTTGTTGCTTGCTGCTGCCTGCTGAACCACACCAAGAAAATCGAAATCGGAAGTGAGAAGTGCAAAGCTGCAGGTCTTGGTGCAAGTCTGAAGGGCTTTGACGATTTCATTGTCATTGGCTTCTCCCCCATGGTTTGAGTTCCGCTTGACCGGATGAAACGTGATCTTGGACTGTTGGAAGAATTGACTCCACTTCCGGTTCGTACCACGGCCAGGCGGCGCGAAAACTGTAGTGTGAACCGCAAGACCCATCTTCTCCAGCTCGCTCATCACATCTTCAATCTCCTGGATACTATGAATATCACCGTCTACGAGGAGCCAGGTGAACTCTGGCACAGTGGCGTCTTGTGGCACATGACCAGAATCTCGACGAATTCTTGTGCGGATGGCCCTAATGGCCCTGGGTTGGCTAGACGTGCGTCCTAGGCCCACAGACACTGCCACGAGACTGTAGCAAACCATCAGAGTTTTTTGGGGGACAGAACTCAGCTGACACAGCCCTGACGAAAAGCCAGGCTCCTCACGGAGAGAATGGCGAGCACTCCATGCGATCAGCGATCCAATGTAGATTGGATTTGGCAAGCTCCATCGAAAATCACAAGGACGCATGTAGCACCCCACCCAGTGGTAAGCAGCCATGGTGCCTTGCTGTCTCGAATCGAATAGAAGTAGAATGTGTATAACGCGGAGGCCTGCCTATTGCATGGAGGAGGGAATCTGCCCTTGCCAGCTTATGCCCGTCCAGCCGTAAAGGGGTTCCAATCCCTGGGGCTCCTGTACGGAAAACTCCTTCAGGTGATACGGCTGTTGAGGTTCAGTCTACGACATGGTGCAGTGTACCATAAACCGACATTACAGCTGTAGACTCTAGGATACTATGGCAGACCACCATATAGTATCCGAACTTCTAGAACCTTAAAGCCAGGCAGGTAGAAACCAATGCCAACATCTTCGCCAAGAGCTCGTAGTATCATACATCTTGGTGTAGTATAATCTGTATATAAATATATGTATATGTGTTATAGTTTTTAGGGCGTAAAGACATGACCTCTTCAACCTTTAGATCTCACAACGCAATCTCGCGCTGCTGGGCCCTGAACTCTCCAACCCTCCACTGACAGAGGCTCCAGCCTCAGAAGTGTCAGCACGACGAAAACCGCGCTGAAGAGAATCAGGGCACCGAAGATAAAAACTGAGGCAACACTTGGGTTCTAGACTCTTCTAGACTGTGATAGCTCCAAACAGATCTGGAAGCTGAAAGCGCTTTGAAGGCATGCGACGGTTCACATTATTTCGAGGGAGAGTATGGATGGTTTCCTGGGCGCAATGCAACCCACTCTTCAGAGGTCGTATATGAAATAAAGCAGAACGCATAGCCCTGAACATGTGGGCTAAGTCCAGGTTGGTTCAGTTCTAGCCTGCAAGGGTTGCACATGCTTGCGACGGGCTTATCCAGTATGACGGGATAAGGCGTCGTCTGAAGGGGCCGAAGAAGCGGATCATAGCGGGCCAACAGGACTGCTGGTTGGAAGTTTTCCAGCTGTCCAGGCTACATAAAAAATGCCTCCAATGTTTTTGCCGCACGCCATGTATCAGCGATTCAGTTGAAATTCTATGCAACGTTTGCAATACCTCACACACACTTGTAAGGGGACAGATTCAGCGAATGCAACTTAACGACCAGACCCCAAATACTAAGGATGGCGCCAAACAGCGAGACACACTGCGACTCCTGGCGCTTCTTCACAAATCACCTCTTTTTGCTTCTGAAGAACTGTAAGGAATAGTACTATACTTATGTAGGTCTACAGCAGGTAAGTGGGCGTCATCATGGCCCGACAAATACCCCTAAATTTTCTTTGGAACTCCCCTCTAGCAGCTCCTCAAATTCAGGCGCCGTGCCACCCCCGGAAAACATAATGTGGGAACATAAGGAGCTTACGATAGCTTCCATACATACAGACAACCCTGACGTGAACCTCAATAGACCAACATCCTTATTATGGGTACCCCCAAAATGGGGCCCCCAATATCAGGAAACCCTTGTCGCCTGTAAACCACTCTGTAGAATTCCAGTTCCTAATTCATGTTCCTTGTTCTTTTTCAATTGATTCTCCACTATTGGGGTAACACATGCTCATAAATCCCTGTCTATGTACCCTCCTGCCCCTATCCTTTTATACATATATATACAAATCTATAGACCCTAAACCCTAAACCTTAAACCCCTAAACCCCAAAACCTAAACCCCTAAAGCCTAAACCCTACTATAAACCTCCCCCCTAGTATTTATGAAGGACCTGCCCTACGGGTCCCCACGGACCCAAATAAAAGGGCTTTAGGGCCAAATACTATAATATTAATGGTATTTGGGCCCTAAATCCCTATATTTGGGTCCTTGGACCCTTAGGGTTGATGTCCTCTCCAGAGCCGAGAAGTCCCACACCATCTCGGGGACCCAGAAGAAGACGCGTGGGCGGCAGCATGCACTCCTTGCTCTGTCTATTGTAGGGCTTAGGGGTTTGGGGTTTAGGGGTTTGGAGTGTAGGGGTTTAGTGTTTATACAAATTGTATAGGGCTTGGGTCCGGAGTTTAGAGCGAGTTTCCGTTTTGACTTTTGACCTATACAATTTGTATTTATATGGGCTTGAGGGTTTAGGGTTTAGGGGTTTGGAGTTTAGGCTCTGGCTACAGCAAAGCAGCTGTGCAAGCCCCGACACACTCGCGGAGCGAGCACAAGAACACAGTGCGCTCGGTGACTCCACAATGAAAGCCCAGGCACACGGGTTGCGGCCAGGCCCCCCCCCGCCCTTGACGGGCGAGAAGAACTTCGAAAGAAGAGAAAGAAGAAGGAAGGACGTAGTGAAATGCTCAGGTAGGGCTTAGGGCTCAGAGTGTAGTTTGGGGTTTAGGGTTTGGGGTGTAGTTGAGGGTTAAGGGTGCAGTTTAGGGTTTAGGGTTTAGGGCACTTGGTAGGAAATGGAGGAATGCGGTATTGGGATTAGTATAGCTAAGGGGTGATATATACAAATACATTATGTGAATAGGAACTACTAGGTTGTAGGGACCAGCGCAAGGGACCACTGACTGCTGTAGGCATTCATTCCTGCATTCCCTACCCGCCAGGACATGTGGAATGACTATTATTGTTCTTCCTGCTGAGCAACTGAACGGCCCTTTACATGGAGAGTACTCGTGATGGTTGTGGACAATACAAGCAGGTTGCCCTGCAGGTGTAATGATTGAGATAATACGCACGAGTCCAGCCATCTGAGCACAGACTACCAGCAGTCACAGTTTGTACAAGTAGCAGACCCTGCAAGGTTGGGGTTGTGGGTGCAAGACAACAACTGACAGGCTGCGCGTCCTTGCAGCCATCTTTCTTGCTACAAGACTGGCATCCCGCCACAGCACAAGCATGACAGACCTCCAGGGCACGAAAGAGTCATGGGATTCGCTGGGGGGCATTTTAAAGGCATGCGATTCAGATCACTCTTCTTGGCTTAGCTGAGCGGGGAACTATATATCTTTTTAAAATCCCCATGTATAACCCTATATGAAGATCCCCTACAACCCCCTTTAACGGCACCCCTAACTATTGAGTGGGAAGCAATGGGCTATGAATTATAGCACTTAATAGCCCCTATGATACTCCACCATACAGTTTCAAGGAGTTTACAATCTGCACTCCAAAAGGCTCACAGACTGTCTAAGCTACGCTTCAAGGGCACAAGGTAGTGCACACATGCAAATCGCAAATGGGGGGGAAGGTTCCAAAAATTAGGGGTTCCTTTATAGGGAGTTGGGGCACCATAAGGATTATCGTGTTTTGGGGTACTATACTATGGAAACTACCAAATATCATACAAGAAGGCAGAACTCTACAGGAGTACGTCGCCATTGGTCGCCTCCTAAACTCTAAACCCTAAACCCTAAACCGCGTAACACATCGAGCACATGAGGATTTGCGTCAGCTACACGGACCAAAGTTCGAGGAAGGTGCCCTCCAGACCCTAAACCCTGAACCCCTAAACCCGTAAACCCTAAACCCCTAACCCCCTAAACCCTAAACTCACAAACCCCTAAACCCTAAACCCTAAAACCCCGAAACCCTTCAGACCCTCCCGGCCTGGAAGTTGTCCGGGTACGTTGTCATTGGGCATGCCTTACAGAAATTGCAGCTTCTCGCTGGGGGATATGGGAGTATGTTGGGGTTATATAATATGGATAATGGAAAAGACATGAAAATGGAAACTGCTATAGTATATTGGGTTTCTTGAATATCTAAGCCCCAAAAGCAAATGTCTCGCCACATGATAAAAGTAAACAACATGCGCATCTCTAAAGCAGCGCAATCTCTGCCTGGGACTAAGACACGACCCTGTTGCTCAAATTAAGATGTCACTCATTCGAGTGATGCTACAGCCACCATCGAATCCAGTAAGCCTCCTTTAACCCCGGTAGCACACTTACTATAACACCAAAAGTTCCAGTGGCAAAAGTCCTGAGGCACTGGCAGCCGTGCATTTTGTGGCGCTCGAGGCCAAATTTCCAATAAAGTACCTGAGAACTTGCTGAAACGGCAGCTCTGCCAAAGGACAAGAAACCAAATTCACCTGGTAACAGACTCCTCATGATGCGGCGTCATTGTCATAGCTGTAGTGGCAGTGCAACGACGGTGAGGACTATGAGTCATGAGAACCACAAGGACAAAGAGGACGATGAAGACGAGGATGAGAACACGATGAAGACGAGGAGGACGAGAACGACAATGAGGAAAAGAAGGACGAGGACTACAAGGAGGACAACGTGACAAGGAGGCCGAGAGCGAGGAAGACCACCACGAGTGGAGAGTTTGACTGCAGGAAGAAGAGCAGTAGCAACTGACCACAGTACTGGAATGCTTGAAATAACTTTGCCTGTCGCAATGGCCGAGCAAGCCATCTGAGGGCCACACGGAGTCTTGTACACATGGTCGCATGGGTTTCGCGTTGCCCATCCAGTGAGGTCGGGCGACTCCATTGCATCATCGAGCAGCTTTGCCCGCGCTTGCCATGTTATACGTGTTCTGTTTCTTTGTATTTTCGCTGTTTTTACATTTCTGGCCGTCTGATTTTGCATGTTTCTCTTTGCTGGGATTCAGCCATGTTCCTAGCTTTGTCCTGCTTATGCAGGTGGCTAATTTGAAGAACTTCGAGGGGCGTTGGCCTGCCACAGCTTTAGCTATTATAATGGGACATCCCGTAGTGCGATTTTACCTCCGACTGTAG